TGTCTGCCAACAGAATAGCTACTCTTGCTTTTTTCTGGGTACCTGTTGCACGGAGTACTGTTTTCCATCCTTTAACTTTCAGTCTTTGAGTTTCCTTCTGAGTTAAATGTATTTCTTGTATACAGCATATTGTTGGATTTTGTTTCTTTATCCACTCTGCCAGTTTGCTTCTTTTGATTTGTTAATTGAGGTCATTTACATTGATGGTTATAACTGATATGTATTGGTTTATCTTTATCATGTTATTTTCCTGCTGTTTGTTCCCTACTTTTTCCCTCTGTTTAACTGCTTACTGTGCTTGGTGATTCCTTTCTATTATTGTTCTTGAAGTTGTTATGGAAGTTGTGGTCATTTTTATCTCTTCCTAGAATACCTTGCAATACTCTTTATAAGGTTGGTTTGGTGGTCATGAATATATTCAGTTGTTCTTTGTTGTGGAAGTATTTTATTTCTCCATTAATTTTGAAAGATAGTTTTGCAGGGTACATCATTCTGGGTTGGAAATTGTTTTCTTTCAGGACCTGAAATACTTTACTCCAAGCTCTTCTTGACCGAATGATTTATGTTGACAAATCTGCAATGATTCTGATGGGTTTTCCTTTATAGGTGATCTGTTTCTTTTCTCTAACAGCATTTAATATTCTGATTTTTCTGCTGAATTTCTGGGATCTTAATTACTGTGTTTCTAGGTTTAGATTTATTTTGATTATGGCTAATTGGAGTTCTATATGCCTCAATTAACTGTATGTCAGATTCATCTCTTATGCTTCACAAATTTTCGGTTACTACTTCTCCAAATAGTCTCTTTATGGCATCCATATTTACTCCTGCTGTTTCATTGATACCTATCAGTCTTATATTGTTTTTCTTTGTCTCATCTTGCAGCTGTTGAGTTGTTATTTCCTGGTTCTGTGTTATTTTTAAGAGATCTTTCCTTTCGTGATTACTAGCTGCAATGCTGTCTTCAAGGTCTGAAAGTCTATCTTCAGTTTCATTCAAGCAGTTTTGCCAGCTGTCAATGGAATTTTTAATTTCCTGAATATCTCTTTGAATCTGTTTTGTGCATGCTAATTCTTTCCTATACTGTTCATTCAAGGTTTCTATCATTTTTCTATGCTCTTCTGTCTTTTATTTATGTTTTCTTTAGATGTGCTGTGCAAATCTTTCATTATTGTTGTCATTTATTTTTTTACCTGAGAGATTATTTCTGATCTGATTTCTTCTGTGGCCTGATGGAGTTGTTTCTCTACTTCAGTTGCTATCATTTCAGAAATTTCAGGTGTGTAACTTCCAAGTTCTTCTATGTCAATGTCTCCTGGACTTGTTCTGGGTGGGCTGGGGGTTTGAGATTGCATTTTGCTCCTATGTTTTTTCTTTCTTTCTTTCTTCTTTCTTTCTTTCTTTCTTTCTTTTTTTCTTTCTTTTTTTTCTTTATTTCTTTTCCTCTCTGGTACTATTAATCTGTTTTGCCTCAGAGCTGCCATGAAATAAGCAGTTTTGCTCTTCTCCCATGATGTTTCTGCTTTAGAACCAGTCACACATGGACTGAGCCTACTGAAACTGAACCAAATAAAACTCTCCTCCTTAAATTGTGGGTGTCAAGTACTGGTCCCAGAGAGCAAATATAAAAAATTGGTACCAGAGAAGTGGAGTGCTTTCTGTGACTACATTTGACTATGTTGATTAAATGCATTTGGAACAGTTTTAAGGGAGGAAGTTGGGAAGGGTAGGAGATGTGCTCCAGTGAAGCCCTAGAATGCTATAAGCAGAGTCCATTGAGTATTTCTGATTGGAGCTCAAAGGACCAGAATTCTGACAAAATGCAGATAAGAAAGGCAAGGCTCAGGAGATTTCAGACAGGGATTCTTAGGAATCAGGCTAAAGGCTGTGCATGTCACACTCTGGCAAATAAGAACTTGTCTACATTTTGCCCAGGTCTTGAGATAAAATTCTTGACACCCGCAACTTAGAGGAGGAGAGGCTTATTTGGGCTCACAGTTTGTCTATGGTTGCCTGGCTCCAAAGCAGAAACAGAATGTCAGAGGGACATGGCCACAGAAAAGGTGCTTAGCCCATGGCAGCCAGGGCCCCACCTCCAACAAGCCATACAACCTAAGAGCACATTTATCCACTGAACTTATCAGCTAAGCATATTGCCCTTGCCATCCAACCAACTTCTACACACATGAGAGTCCTGAGGGGGCATTTTAGATTAAAATGGACCATCCCACCACTTGCCCCTAAAAGACTCATGTCTTATGCAAAATGCATTGAGCCGATCACTTAGAGTCAAGTTGTTAATGTATTAAAGACTCCAGGGTTGCAGAAGAGTCCCATAGAGTATATATA